GGACTTGTAACCTTGAGATTGTTGATATTTTGCCACAATTTTGGTTCTCAGGTCCTCAGACAGTTCTCGTCTCCTCTTTCTGTTGTCCATGCTTAGTGTGGCACAGACAGACACACAATGCAAAGGTTAAGTGAACGTCTCTCCTTTTTATTGCTTTCAGGTGTGATTTCTATATTGCCCACACCTGTTACTTGCCCCAGGTGAGTTTACAGGAGCATCACATGCTTGTACATTCTTATTTATCCGCAGTTGTGAAAGGTGTGCCAATACTTTTGTCCAGCCCATTTTTGGAGGTTTGTGTGTGACATTATGTCGAATTTGCTTTCTTTCCTCCCTTTTTTTGTTTTGTCCCAATACACACAAAAGGGAATAAACATGTGTATAGCAAAACATGTGTTAATGCAATACGTTTCGTGAGAAATACATGATTTCCTGGAGAAATATCAAGGGTGCCAACAATTTCGGCCATGACTGTAGTAATTCATCCCCCATAGTAATTCATCCCCCATATAGTAATTCATCCCCCATATAGTAATTCATCCCCCATATAGTAATTCATCCCCCATATTAATTCATCCCCCATATTAAGTCCCCAAGTCCCCCCTGTGTCAATTCACTTACCTTTGCTCCGCGCGTTCCTCTCGCCGTGTCCCGCGCCGTTCCGGTGTAGCATGAAAATTTGTCTCCTATGAGGATCTGTCCCCCTCGACATATATGCGCATGTGCCAGTTTCAGGCATTAGCAGCCGATCGGCGATCTCCGGCACATGCGCAGATACGTCGAGGGGGACAGATCCTCATAGGAGACAGATTTTCATGCTACACCGGTCTTCAGGGCGGACTGTTGAGAGGAGCCTAGCGGGAGCCTAGCTCCGCGGGCCGGATTAAAAGGTCCGCCGGGCCGTATACGGCCCGCGGGCCGTAGTTTGCCCATTGCTGAGCTAAACCATTTAGTCTGATCACGGCTATGATTAGCATCGGACTGGATTTGAAGTAACTTTAACTGCAGTATAAATTGTTTTCATTTCAATTCTTAGGGGGAAGGATTCTCTTTGGAATATCCCTGAAGCTGATTTCAACTTCTAGTCAACAGTTTAGTTGGTGAGATATAACAAAATAGACAACTTAGTGGAAATTTGCTCTTGACCTCAAATAGATTCTCAGCTTATTGGATAGTCCTGTGTATGGTACTCTAAATTAGTTCACGTGCAGTGAAAACGTGGAGCTTTGAATACCTGGTTGCAGGGAGAGATCAGGTCGTCAATTTGCATATCTTTTGTCACATTCTGTTAAATTACTGAGCGTTAACTACACAAAAAATGGCAGCCGTCCCAACCTATAACCAGCCTCAGCAGTAATGTGCACATGGAAGGGCAATGCACATAGCAAACAAAAAAAAAAGGATTTCCCAGCAACACTTACCAGCCAGCCTGCGAAACAACCAATATGGCCCTGTCTACCAGGTTGCGTTAAAAACAGATGGTTTTGTTTGCACACATTTGCAAATACATGCGCAAACCACAGTCCCACGTCAAGGGTCCTCTACAGTTGCAAGAAAAAGTATGTGAACCCCTTGGGATTACGTGGAGTTTTGCATGAATTGGGCATAAAATGTGCTCTGAACGTCATCTAAGTCACAACAATAGAAGAACACAGTCTGCTGAACATAATACTACACAAACATTAGATGTTGCCATGGTTTAATTGCACATAACATGTAAACATTCACAGTGCAGGGAGGAAAAAGTATGTGAACTTTGGAATCAATAACTGGTTGACCCTCCTTTGGCAGCAATAACCTCAACCAAACGTTTCCTGTAGTTGCAGATCAGACCTGCACAACGATCTGGAGTAATTTTGGACCACTCCTCTTCACAAAACTGTTTCAGTGTAGCAATATTCTTGGGATGTCTGGTGTGAATCGCTCTCTTAAGGTCATGCCACAGCATTTCAATGGGGTTGAGGTCAGGACTCTGACTGGGCCACTCCAGAAGGCGTATTCTGTGCTGTTGCAGCCATTGTTTTGTTGAATTACTTGTATGCTTTGGGTCATTGTCCTGTTGCATCACCCATCCTCTGCGGAGCTTCAGTTGGCGGACAGATGGTCGTACGTTTTCCTGCAAAATGTCTTGATAAACTCTGGAATTCATTTTCCCATCAATGACAACAATCCGTCCAGGCCCTGAGGCAGCAAAGCAGCCCCAAACCATGATGCTCCCTCCGCCATGTTTCACAGTGGGGATGAGGTTTGATGTTGGTGTGCTGGGCCTTTTTTTCTCCACACATAGTGTTGTGTGTTCTTCCCAAACAACTCAATCTTGGTTTCATCTGTCCACAGTATATTTTGCCAGTAGCACATTTTATGCCCAATTCATGCAAAACTCCACGTAATCCCAAGGGGTTCACATACTTTTTCTTGCAACTGTATATACTATGAAATCAAATCATATAAGTGGTGAAGCGCTCAACTTATAATTCCCTAGTGAAATACACAAATCATATCTCTCAATAATACAAATAATAAATATTATATAAAACTAGTGCAATATCTTCATACACATAACGAATATATATCCCTGGTGATATAGTGAAAACTTATATCTCTTAAACTGTGCAGAAAGTGAAATACAATGATTAAAATAAATAGTGATGCCACACTGTGAAAATTAATGGCAAAGTGTTCAAAATAATGTCACTCCATGCTGCAAATAGTGCTCTTCGTGTAAATCTTGACGTGACTCCCCTCAATAGCAGAAATGCCCCCTCACCTTCCACATTCGACCCTTGCGGGTCACAGAGCTTTTATATATATCTCTCTCTGTTAGATGTCCTCCACTGCCTCCACCGACCATAATCCACCTCCAGGCAGTAAGTACCTCTCTCCAATTACTCCTCTTTGCCAGGTAAACCTCTCCTCACTGCCACCTCCGACCAAGATCCTCCTCCAGGCAGTAAATAATATCCAATACCCCTCACACAATGGACTCAGGCTCAGAGCGATTCATATAAAACGATAAAACAGACCTCCATAGTGCAACAACGTTTTATTAAGCTAATCCAATGCAGTGGAACATTAAACTCACATGTCCTCACGTTTTGACAAGCAGTTTACCATATACTATGGGTATATACAGGAGTCCCAAGATGGCGTCCGAACCCGGAACCGGAAGTACGTCACCCCTACGTCGACGCGTTGCGCCACTGTCACGTGGCTTCATCAGGATCTTGATCCTGATGAAGCCACGTGACAGTGGCGCAACGCGTCGACGTAGGGGTGACGTACTTCCGGTTCCGGGTTCGGACGCCATCTTGGGACTCCTGTATATACCCATAGTATATGGTAAACTGCTTGTCAAAACGTGAGGACATGTGAGTTTAATGTTCCACTGCATTGGATTAGCTTAATAAAACGTTGTTGCACTATGGAGGTCTGTTTTATCGTTTTATATGAATCGCTCTGAGCCTGAGTCCATTGTGTGAGGGGTATTGGATATTATTTACTGCCTGGAGGAGGATCTTGGTCGGAGGTGGCAGTGGAGGAGAGGTTTACCTGGCAAAGAGGAGTAATTGGAGAGGTACTTACTGCCTGGAGGTGGATTATGGTCGGTGGAGGCAGTGGAGGACATCTAACAGAGAGAGATATATATAAAAGCTCTGTGACCCGCAAGGGTCGAATGTGGAAGGTGAGGGGGCATTTCTGCTATTGAGGGGAGTCACGTCAAGATTTACACGAAGAGCACTATTTGCAGCATGGAGTGACATTATTTTGAACACTTTGCCATTAATTTTCACAGTGTGGCATCACTATTTATTTTAATCATTGTATTTCACTTTCTGCACAGTTTAAGAGATATAAGTTTTCACTATATCACCAGGGATATATATTCGTTATGTGTATGAAGATATTGCACTAGTTTTATATAATATTTATTATTTGTATTATTGAGAGATATGATTTGTGTATTTCACTAGGGAATTATAAGTTGAGCGCTTCACCACTTATATGATTTGATTTCACACATCTTGCGGTATAAAGAACAGGTGATAGCAGCTTACTCACCAGGTTCTGTGGAGCGCAGGGGGATTTTTGTATTGTATATACTATGGACCTAACTAACATTTCCAAAGCCTCCATAGTGGGAGCACATGTATCAAAGGATAGGTTAAGGGCACGTTTGCCTGGAGGAGCCCATCCCTCCTTAAAGGTACAGAGACACACGTGACGCCCCGCTATACCAAAATGACAGCAAAGGTATCCAGTGCGTCCCGGCGTCCAAATTAGCCAACTACACAAAAAAAGAGAGAGTTTCATACGCTGCATTTTTTTTAGACAGTTGGTCCTACTTCAATAATATTTGATAATATTTGCTGGTTTGAATTTGTAACCATTATTTTTGATTAGACAATTGAACTGCTATTTTGATTTTATTAATATTTATAATCACCAATTATATTTTAATTACCATTTTGCACTGATATTAATAATAAATATATATATATTTTTGGACATTATTGCTTTTCATTTTGTTTTCAAATTAGCGCAAATAAAGAACTTGATTTATAAAAATTAGTAGGGAATCTCCTTAATTCCAGATTCCTGCCAGTTTTCATAAATTATATACTGGATAATTTTTTTTTTCAGAGCTAAAGTTCTGACAGGGAGTGGGGGCAGCTGGTCATGTGACCGGATAAGGGATATGTAAGCTGGTCAGGCGATGGGACGTTGAAGGTGTCAGTTGGTCAGTTGACTGACTGAGAGAGGTGTCAGATGGTCAGGTGACTGGATGTGGGAGGTGACAGCTAATCAGGTGATTGGATAAGGAGGGAGGTGGGGGGACAGCTGGTTAGGTGATCGGATGAGGGGGGGGATGCAGCTGGTCAAGTGATTGGATGTGGGAGGTGTCAGCTGGTCAGGTGATTGGATAAGGAGGGGGATGCAGCTGGTCAAGTGATTGGATGTGGGAGGTGTCAGCTGGTCAGATTGTTAGGCATGAAGTTTACCTTTTTCTTGTGTTTCACTTTTGGAGACTTTGAGTTTTGGGGAAGCTTCAAGCGAAGCCATGATCTCTTCAGGGGGTCCTGGAATATTACAAGTACAATATATTCAGTTCTGGAGAGAGGACAGATATAGAGGTTGCACGCATGTGTCTCTTACCAGTCTGGATTATTTTCCCATGATCCATCAAGATGAGAAGATCAGCTTTCTCCAGCAGCTCGGTCCGGTGAGTGCAGAGGATCCGGGTCTTGTGCCGCAAAATACCCAGGATGCATTTCTCCATGAGGTGAGAGGCCACGTCTGCATCTACTGCAGCCAGGGGGTCATCCAGCAGATAAATGTCCTTCTCCTGAGAGGGAAAAGATGGATCCACATTCATTTACTGACCCTCCACATCCCCTGGTGTACATTAAAAAGCGGAGCTGTGTATATGAGGAGGCGGGGCTGTGAAAAAATCATAGAATAGCCCCTCCCACAACCACTAGACATTTTTTTTTACCTTCCAGTTCTGCTCAGCAGTTAGAGGGGTGGTGTCTAAAAAGGATTGGGAGGAGTCTGGTAGTTGGGGCTTATTCCCACCTCAGAAGATATATTACAGCGGAAATAAACTCTCTCAATCAACATTAACGATTTTTAATTCTCATGCTACCAGCATTAGTAAATAGATAAGTTCCTAAGTTACTTCCTGGTTTCTGGACTAAGCCAAAATGATGTCATACAGGCCAGGAGTCTTCATGGGAGGAGGCTTTCTCAACCAAGCATGCCCTTCTGCCTGCATATCTGACCTAAGGGTAGATGGCTTCCAGGAAGTAAACGCTACATGAATCATCTGCCCTCACTTAAGATGGCCATGGCTAGAAATGCTTGGGGGTGTTTTTCTAAGTGATTTCTCAATAAAATACAGATGGAGACGCAGATGGATGAGTTTTCTTTGAATATTAAAAAATAATTAGTGTATTCAGTTTGTGGAGCTCAGATACAGTTTGGTTCTGCTTTAACAATGTCTGTATAGTTCTCAGCTGCCTTACTTGATACACAGCTCGGGCCAGACTGACTCGAGCCTTCTGTCCTCCACTGAGAGTGACACCGTTCTCCCCGACTTCAGTCTGGTCTCCAGCAGGAAATATCTGTAACGACACAATACACTGTACTCACTATTACAGACAAGATGTGATCCTCACCTAAAATCAGAAATCTACAACTATAACCAGGACTACTGAACTGGATGGACTTTTGTCTTTTTTCAGCCAGACTAACTATGTAACTATGAGCTCAACATCCCTTACTGTCCCCTACTGGCACACATGTAAAGCATATGCTGCATTATTTGGCAGCCATAACTGGTTTTACCGCCTCCCACCTGCCATATAGTACTATGACGGACGCAAGGCGGTTCTCTCGTTCTGGAAGGATGTCATATGACGTCCTCCCATTCTAACCACGCATGCGCGGCTCCCGGAGCGCGGCGATCGGCGGTACGCTGTGTCCCTCGGACACAGCGGATCACCGATCCACGGAAAGAGCTGAAGATGTCGGCTCCGTCATGTGATCAGCTGCGTCCAATCACAGCTGATGACATGTAAACAGGGAAATGCCGGTTATTGGCATTTCTCTCCCCACAAGCTGTCACGCTGACAGAGGAGAGGAGAGCCGGTAATTGGCATTCCGTGGAGGGGACATGTGCACTGATCATCAGAGCACTGATGATCAGTGTGCCCTGATGATCAGTTTAGCCTCAGCAGTGCCACCTGTCAGTGTCCATCAGTGCCAGCTGTCAGTGCTCATCAGTGCCACGTGCCAGTGCCCATCAGTGCCACATATCAGTGCCTACCAGTGAAACAAAATGTAGCGCTAATCGCTTGATGTACAAATAAATCAATGATTTGTCAGGGCAGCAGTTGGCTGTCAGGTCCATGATTAAGTGTCATCCTGGTTAAAAAAATGAGAATACTCAAACGTAGAAGGTGTCTCCACGTAGAAGCCCGACCCTCTGTTTCCTGTGGTGTTTGCTGCCGTTTGAGTATTCTCATTTTTTTAACCAGGATGACACTTAATCATGGACCTGACAGCCAACTGCTGCCCTGACAAATCATCTATTAGCAACTGATGCCCAGCAGACTGCAATTCTGGTGATAATCCATGACCTTTGGATTTGGAAATTAGCTGGAAGAGTGTATACTGTGGCAGTGCCGGGAGAGGAGCTGGAGGAAGACCACAGAGGGTGTACACACGTCTGTCCATATGAGCACATAATGAACTATTGATGGAGGTCATAAAGTGAGTGGTTAGCGCAATATGTGATCCTGCCTGGAGAAGGAGCCAGTATTGGAGTTCTGATCCCCAGAGGGAAATCTGCATATAGTTGGAGCTGTCGTTTGGAGGGATAATAACCTGGAGGATCTGTGAGAGGGATCCTATTAAAACGCTGTGACTCGCAAGGGTCGAGTCTGGAAGGTGAGAGGCTAATCCAGCCGGTGATCGGATGTTTTTTTTTTTTTGTATAGTCATCAAACCACGTTTGAACACGGATATCAGCACGAGTTGTTTTGTTCACTGGAGTGTGATTATTAAAAGATTGGAAAACGCATGAAAATAGATTATCGTGTGTATATTATGTCACTAATCAGAGTTCACTTTTGCACATGGGGTTGTTTTATCCACTTTATGGGATTTGTGTAGGTATATATATATTAGTGCACATTGTGTGTTTATGTATATTTGTTCGAATATGCACTATTATGTCAGTCAATAAGAATGGTTTTTCACCATCACTATAGGAATTTTTTGTGTTTCTTTGTAAGCACGAAGTTATTTATAGTAGCAAGTTTATTCGCTTTTAAGTAAGGGGATTTTTATTTGCACATTGATTTATTTGTACATCAAGCGATTAGCGCTACATTTTGTTTCACATTTTAATTTCTGAGGATCATTTGATATATGATGTTATGTTGGCAGCCTTTCGCTATTAATATTATTGTTTAAAATCAGTCTGAGCGCAGGAGGTTCACACCACTAGTGCCTACCAGTGCACATCAATGCCACATATCAGTGCACATCTGAGCTGCCTTTCAGTGTCACCCATCAGTGCCACCTATCAGTGCCAATCAGTGCCACCTATCAGTGCCGCCTATCAGTGCCAGTCAGTGCCGCCTATCAGTGCCAGTCAGTGCCGCCTAACAGTGCCATATATCAGTGCTGCCTTTCAGTGCCCATCAGTGATGCCTGTCAATGCCCATCAGTGCCACCTACCAGTGCCTCCTCATCAGTGCAGCCTATCAGTGCCCATCACTGCAGCCTCATTAGCGCACATCAGTGAAGGAGAAAAATCACTTATTTACAAATATTTATAACAAAAATTAAGAAATTTTTTATTTTTTTTTAAATTTTCAGTGGTTTTTGGTTTAAGAAAAAATAAAAAAAACCAGAGGTGATTAAATACCACCAAAATAAAGCTCTGTCACAAAAAAATTATAAAAATTTCATATGGGTACAGTGTTGCATGACCGCGCAATTGTCATTCAAAGTGCAACGGCACCGAAAGCTGGAAATTGGCCTGGGCAGGAAGGGGGTATAAGTGCCCGGTAGGCGAGGGGTTAAAGGTGCATACTCCAGGGCTGATATCCTTATCCAGCTTCTATCATATGACCTGGAACACACATGCAACCATGAAGCCTGAAAAAGTTTGACCTCCACCCTACATACATCTTCTAGGTTACTGGCTCCTTACAAGTGGATGGAGATGAAATCCCTGAAGCCAGAACATTTAAAAATGATGTCAGCAATGGCGTCTCCTGTATATCTACTCTGATAGCTCTCCTTAACCACTTGCCTACAGGGCACTTATACCCCCTTCTTTCCCTGGCCAATTTTCAGCTTTCAGCGCTGTCGCACTTTGATTGACAATTGCGCGGTCATGCAAGATTGTACCCATATGAAAGTTTTATCATTTTATTCTCACAAATAGAGCTTTCTTTTGGTGGTATTTAATCGCTGCTGGGCACTTTAGTTTTTGCGCTATAAACAAAAAAAGTGCAAAAAGTTTGAAAAAAAAAGGTTTCTTTGTTTCTATTATAAAAGTTTTCAAACAGGTAATTTTTCTCCTTCACTGATGTTCGTTGATGAGGCCGCACTGATGGGCACTAATAGGCAGCACTGATGGGCACTGATAGGCAGCACTGATAGGCAGCACTAATGAGGTGTCACGGATAGGCGGCACTGAAAGGTGGCACTGACTGGTATCACTGCTGGGCACTGACTGGCGGCACTGCTAGGCATTGACTGGCGCAACTGCTGGGCACTGACTGGCACAAACGCTGGGCACTGACTGGTGGCACTGACTGGCAGCACTGCTGGGCTGCACTGATGGGCACTAGTGGGTGGCACTGGTGGGCACAGGTGGGTGGCACTGGTGGGCACAGGTGTATGGCACAGGTGGGTGCACTGCTGGGCACAGGTGGGAGGAGCTAGGGGGCACACTGCTGGGCACAGGTGGGCGGAACTGGTGGGTGGCACTGCTGGGCACGATCATCAGGGCACTGATCATCAGTGCCCTGATGATTGGTGCCGTTCCCTGCTCTGACAACTGCTGGTTCTTGGCAGTACTTTCCTCACGCTCTGACAGCGTAAGGAAAGTGCAGCTGAGAACTGGCAATTGAATTTCCCGGTGATCAGCGTGTCATTGGACACGGCTGATCATGTGGTAAAAGGCCGCTGTGATTGGCCTTTTACCACATCACGTGATCAGCTGTGTCCGTAGGACACCGCGATCACGGAGATCGCCGGGGGCACGCAGAAGAGCACGTTCTGGGAGGACATCATATGACGCCCTCCCAGAACTGGCCGGCCGCGGTGTAGCCGTCATTCAGCTATCTGCGGTTGGCAAGTAGTTAAAGTAAACCCTGCCTGCCCTGATCCAGTCAACCACTCACACTCAGGTCCTCGGTCAGGGCGCAGGCCTCCACAACCTCCTTATATAGATGCTCATTATATTCCTTCCCAAACAGAATATTATCCCTGATGGTGGCAAACTGTATCCATGGTTCCTGCGCCACAAAACCAAAGCCAGCTTCCTGGTGCGACACGTACAGTGCTCCCCTGCACCTGCAACAACACAGAACTACATATTAGTTTTCCTAAAAGAAATATGCATAATGGCCAAATCTTAATTTCATTATGTGCAATAAAATGTTGGTTGATGTTCTATATTCTGCTTTCTAGGAATAAACGTCAATTGTTTAAAAAAAAAAAATATTGGTTGATAACTGTGAAATCTTGTCAGAAGGAAATATCGATGCATTTCGAACAGTTGGAAGTAACAGTGTGTCCTCTGGAGCATTATAAAATACTCTCCAACCCTTTCAGCACACCCTTCAAACCCTTTGATTGGATGTGTTATTGCTGTACCACTTTCTCCAGGGAGCAGAAAAGATGGCCGCATTTGCAGCTTTGAGCTCTCATTCCTATGAAGGAATGCTAGGAGTCATTTATGAGAGCCCGTGACTCTGATACATCAGATAGGACTTTACACAGAACCAAACACCAGGTTAACCTTGCCCAAATATTATTTACTTTTAACCACTTTTACCCCTATCCATCCCAGGCCAATTTTCAGCTTTCAGCGCTATCACAATTGCGCGGTCATGCAACACTATACCCATATGAATTTTTTAGCATTTTTTTGAGACAGATAAAACTTTATTTTGGTGGTATTTATTCACCACTGGGATTTTTTATTTCTTGCGACATATATGTTTTTCTTATAAAATTTTGCAAATAAATAATCTTTCTTCATAAATCTTGGCCAAAATGTATTTAGCGATCATTTTAGTAAAAAAACGAAAAAAATCCAAAATTAGTTTATAACCAAAAATTATAATTTAAAAAAAAAAAATTTTTTTACATTCTTATTTTTTTATATTATTATTTATGTTTTGTTTTTTTTTTACATACTGTCACCCTAGCAGTACAGTGTTACCATAGTGACACTGTACTACTTGTGGGGGGTGATGAAGATTTTTTTTTTTCCTTTTTTTTACACCGATTGCTTTTACACCCATAAAGGCTGTAAAAGCAATAATTTCTCCTTCTCTGGCTGCATTCTTGCAGCCATTGAGAAATACTGTGTGAGCTGTGATTGATCACAGCTTGTCACATGGTACAAGGCTGTTGTGAATAGCACTGTACCATGTGACCTCTGTGATCATTCACAGATTTCACACGTAGTAAGCAATGATGTCACAAGTGATATCTTGCTTACTACTTGGCATTGGCCAATCAGTGATCACATGATTGAGGTCCCGTCCGACGATCAGTGTTCCTCTGTGTTCGGAGGACACAGAGGGCACTGGATCGCGGTCCCAGGGAGCGCGCACAAGCAGGTGAGCGGAGGCATTCACAGATTTCACTAGTAGTAAGCAATGATGTCAGGAAGTGACATATTACTTACTACTATTCATGAGGTCCCGTACAGCGATCAGTGTTCCGAAGGACACAGCAGGCACCAGATCGCGATGCCACGCGATCCCAGGGAGTGCGCACAGGCAGTGAATGTGGAGGCCGTTTATAAACAGCTACCTGCTCCTGAACTGCTCCTGTCCAGCCGTTTATGTACATGGGCCAGATGGGAAGTGGTTAAACCTATTCATTTTAGGGCTCTTTTACAAGATCACTGTTTGGTGCTAGCACATATTTGGTGTTATCTGATCAAACGATCAGGGATGTGACATTACTTGGTGAGTTTCTCATTACCTGGTCAGTTCTCCAGTCATTGCGGCCAATAGAGAGCTTTTTCCACACCCAACTTTTCCGACAATGGCAACCAGCGCTCCCTGCAAATGAAACCGTGACATAAATATCACACAATTATTCACACGCACCATCAGGGCTGCTGATAGAAACCACAGGGTCCCCATACAGCCAACCTGACAGCCCCCCCCCCCAAAAAAAAAAAAACAGTTCACTAGGCTTCACTTGTGAATGAACACAGTGAGTGATCAGTACCGATCACTCATTGTGTTCATTCAGGAAAGGAAGGGGCTGGTAAATGTAACATATTTACCGAACCCTTCCCGCAGTCTCCATCCTGAAGATCCTATTGTGTGCTTGCAGCTGCCTGTGAAAAAGAAGGGAGGGAAACCAGCAGCACTGTGGGGTGGGGGCACACAGGGGGTTTGGGCAGCAGGGGAAAATGTATGGTGCACAGGGAGGGTGACGGGTGTGGTGGGAGGGCAATTACTGGAATTGATCCCCTGTATGGCTCTTTGCAGCAGCTAAAAGCCAGCAGGAGGGAGAGGAGAAGAAGCCGGCTTTCAGCTGCATCAGAGAGAGCCATACAGGGGATCAATTCCAGTAACTGCCCCCCACCACACCCATCACCCTCCCTGCCCACATCCAAATCACCCAGCTGCCTGGGCCCCCCTGCTGGCCTGGGCCCCATACAGGAGGACTGGTGGTGCCCCCTTATCCATGGCCCTGCACACCATCTGCTGGCGACTGGCAGGTGTGCAGCCAGAGACTACCACTGCATGGGGTTGCCAGTGCATGTCGAAATACAGAGTGCTAAAGTGGAACTCAACTTTTGTCTTTTTTTTTCTGATTAGTTTATTAAACATGTTTATTTACCGATGATCCTGCTACCAAAATTATTGTGTATTTTCTGGCACACTCCTGTATATATACCACTTCGTATATTCCAATCAATGGAAACTATTCTCAATACTTTTATCTCGGGTAATAGGGGGGTCATTTACCTTTCCCAAATGTTTCCCAAATTACCAGCAGTGGTGTTAAGTCAATTGAATATGGACTACCCAACTCCATGTTCTTTCATTACCTCCAGCTCTGCCACGCATCGCACATGCAATTTGAAGACTCACTCCCAAACCTTGACTCTCTTTATTTACTAGATGTATTTTTGGTCACTGACCCTAAAAGGTGACGTCCACCTTCTATAATTGTCCAACAGTCAGCAGCCGACTTATCAGTTGAAAATTCGATGGGTGGCAAATGTGGGGGAGCTGGAGGACGATGAACGGGATAATGTCTTAGAATCTAGCAAATTGGTTTCCCCAAAACTAGGGATGCAGTTATTCTGTTTTTTTTTAATCAGCAAGTACTGATAATTTCAGTCAAATACTCGCTGATACTGAGTACCAATACTTTGCAATGCGATTTGCATTAATGGACGCAAATTGCACCGCAAAGAATAACATGCAATTTGAAGAGGAATGCAAGTCCTGTTCAAATTTCATGCGGTTTCCCCACTGCCCCTGTGTGAAGCCAGGCTTGTCATAGGCCTAGTTCACACAGGAGTGGTGCGGGAAACCTTCCTGCAGGCATCCCATGCTGAGTGTCAGTGGAAGGAGAAGAGAGAAAGCAGTGGGGATTTAAAATCCCCGCCGCTTTCTTTCCTCTCCTTGCAGAGATGACAGTTTGGGCCAGACAGCATCTCATTGGTCAGCACTGTCACATGGACAGAACGTATGTATTCACATTGGCTTTCATGGATTAAAACAATATGAAGAATTTAAGATGGAGTGCGACTCTGAACTATTTCTACACTTCTGTGGGAGTATGTACCAGTGTTATCACTAGGCAGGATACAAAAGGTATAAATGTAACAAGAAAAAAGAGAAGTTCAGCTTTTCAAAAAACAAGCATTCATACTCACCTAGATGGATACAGCCTCGATCTGATGCTGCATCTGTTCCCTGCCACCTCTAAGATTGAGAACTGAGCACTCGGTTAATGGTCCTCAGTGAGCAGAGAGCTCTGCATTACCCCTCTTGTGCCGGACTTTGGGGGGGTGGGAACGGCTGTTCAGGCTCTCAGAGGAGGCTGAGAGTCTGAGCCAGCGGACGGTCAGATATCTGGGCAGATCCTGACATTATTGTTGGGATCCCAGCAGGGCCTGGCCTGGCTCTGTGACATCAGCTGACAGCAGCTGTCAACTGAATCTGCATCACAGGAGTGCAGAACTAAGGGCATTACTGTGACCATTTAAAGGAGACTATACCTCTTTTCAACCTCAGAATGCATACTTATGCAAATAAATACATCAGTGGAAACATCTTGGTTTCAACACGGTAATTATACACTCCCATCACTTATCATATTGATGTTTTTTTCAATCGTTTGATTAACTAATTTTTGTTCATCCTAGAAGTCAAACCACTGTAATTTTTTGAATATCGGCCGACTGGCCATAGCCATACTTTGTGAATCCACAGCTATTCACCCATATGATGTTGAACATCTACTAAGTAGGTAATAAGATGCAATTTTGAAAGTTCATTGGTTGTTATTCGAGTATCTATTGAAGCAGAAGGTTCATGACACTGATATAGCCATTTCAGAGACTACAGGTATTCATTGTTCATTCATCTATTCACTTTCCAGGCGTTTTACTATACAGTGGGGATCGAAAGTTTGGGCACCCCAGCTAAAAATTTGTATTAATGTGCATAAAGAAGCCAAGGAAAGATTGAAAAATCTCCAAAAGGCATCAAATTACAGATTAGACATTCTTATAATATGTCAACAAAAGTTAGATTTTATTTCCATCATTTACACTTTCAAGATAACAGAAAACAAAAAAAATGGCGTCTGCAAAAGTTTGGGCACCCTGCAGAGTTAATATCTTGTACTGCCCCCTTTGACAAGTATCACAGCTTGTAAACGCTTTTTGTAGCCAGCCAAGAGTCTTTCAGTTCTTGTTTGAGGTATCTTTGCCCATTCTTCCTTACAAAAGTCTTCCAGTTCTTTGAGATTTCTGGGCTCTCTGTCACGCACTGCTCTTTTAAGGTCTATCCATAGATTTTCAATTATGTTGAGGTCAGGAGATTGTGAAGGCCATGGCAAAACCTTCAGTTTACGCCTCTTGATGTAATCCCCCGTGGATTTCGAGGTGTGTTTAGGATCATTATCCATTTGTAGAAGCCATCCTCTCTTTAACTTCAGCTTTTTCACAGATGGCATCAAGTTACCATCCAAAATTTGCTGAAATTTTATTGAATCCATTTTTCCTTCTACTCGTGAGATGTTCCCTGTGCCACTGGCTGCAACACAACCCCAAAGCATGATTGATCCAACCCCATGCTTAACAGTTGGACAGAGGTTCTTTTCATTAAATTCTGTGCCCCTTCTTCCCCAAACGTACCTTTACTCATTCCGGCCAAAAAGTTCAATTTTAACCTCATCGGTCCACAGAACTTGTTTCCAAAATGCATCAGGCTTGTCTATATGTTCATTTGCAAAGTTCAAATGATGATTTTTGTGGTGAGGACGTAGAAGAGGTTTTCTTCTGATGACTCTTCCATGAAGACCATATTTGTACAAGTATCTCTTTATAGTGGAATAGTGTACCACAACTCCAGTGTCTGCCAGACCTTTCTGGAGGGATCGTGCAGTCAAACGTGGGTTTTGAATTGTTTTTCTCACAATCCTGTGAGCTGTCCTGTCTGATATTTTTCTTGGTCTTCCAGATCTTGCTTTAACTTCCACTGTTCCTGATGACTGCCATTTCTTAATTACATTCCGAACAGAGGATATTGACATCTGAAAACGCTTTGCTATCTTCTTATAGCCTTCTCCAGCTTTGTGAGCGTCAACTATTTTCAGTTTCAGTTTTCTAGACAACTGCTTAGAAGAACCCATGGTGCTGATTGTTCGGGCAAGGTCAGATGAGTCTGGGCATTTAAAACCTTTGAGATTGACATCACCTGGTCTTCCCAGACGATGATTGAGAACAATCCATGACACTGGCAGGTCTCAGCTTTGCAAAGGGGGCAGTGCATGCTATAAATTCTGCAGGGTGCCCAAACTTTTGCAGACGCCATTTTTTTGTTTTCTGTTATTTTGAAAGTGTAAATGATGGAAATAAAATCTAACTTTTGTTGACATATTATAAGAATGTCTAATCTGTAATTTGATGCCTTTTGGAGATTTTTCCATCTTTCCTTGGCTTCTTTATGCACATTAATACAAATTTTTAGCTGGGGTGCCCAAACTTTCGATCCCCACTGTACAAGCCTTGATTACCTTATCTGAGGAACTAAAAAGGATACAGATTCTTATACATAGAAGTTGTACTCACACCTGGATTCTCTATTTGGATTTTCCATTGATGAATACAGAAGTAGTCTTTGCTTTTCTTATCTGGCTCATTAAATACACACGCAGATAAGTGGAAAACGCAGAATGTTTTTTTTTGTTTTAATTTTATTTTTATGATTGTACACTGTTCACCATGATAGAATGTCAACCTTTCATGATCTATGTGATCTAATAAATACTATTTGCATTTACTAATTTAGTGACTATTACTCCGCATAGGATTTGTAATATACCACTTTTTGGCAGATCTGCTCGTCAGCTGCTAATTTCTTTCTTTCCATTACTGTGACCAACAGGAGAAGTATGGCCAAAAGATCTTTGGTCAAACTTCTCCTCCAACTTTGTGCGGCTGTATATTTACGCGTCTCTAAAGAGGATCAATAAAAGAGGTAATATGAGTTAAAACAAGAAATCCGCTCGCTACAAATTTGTCAGTCGAGCAGCTTCTGGCTTCATAGGTATACGCCTATAAAGAGGGCAAGACTCTTTTTATCTTTTAGTTTTGTATGAATTAGGGAAGGATTGAATATTTTCAGGATTTACATCCCTGTCCTACTTACAAATGATACAGAAATCAAAAATATGACAACTATCAATACCAGCATAACAGACAGAACTATGAAAGCTTCTCCAGTCTAATCAGAAATAAACAAACGTTTTAGAAAGTCGGGCTTTAATGTCATTTTTGGTGTGATGTTCATGATTTTAGTCACTAATGGTAGAGTGAGCACACAAAGTACCAGACTGAAGTGGCCATCAATGATATCAGTAACGTGTATCTGAACCCAAGAGCAAACATGTAACAATGGTGGGATCAGTCAGCAGACTGCAGTATGAGATGTATCAAATCATACATAAAAACAGATCAGATCCGTGTCTTACCTTGGGAACAGACAGATGACCAATGGAGACTTGCAGTGAGGTGGATCTCTCCATATCGTCCTTAAATGCTGCCCCCCAGGAAAACAAAGCATCCTGCATCTCAACCACTGAGGCTCCTCCTGTAGGGGGCGCTAAGACACAGAGAGATATTTATCAGGCTGGAGTAATGTCAGACCTCTAGATTTTAGAGATCCACCTTCATCAGGAAGGAATTGTTTTCCCAGCAGGAACAAATTGGATCGTGCTTTGCTGGGTTTTTTTTTGCCTTCCTCTGGATCAACTGTGGGTGTAGGATTATAACTTTTTTTTTTTTTCTATGGTTGAACTGGATGGACTTTTGTCTTTTTTCAGCCAGACTTACTATGTAACCTTTGGTGTACAACATGACTGATAATGCCAAACTGTAATCTCACATTGGCCTACACAGCCAGAGGTCACAGATCTCACAGCAGATGTCATTGGCTTTAGGGAAGCAAATCACTAAACTGCACAGAGCTGAATTCTAGGCAGAAAGGAATAACATGAATTAAAGCTGTCCACCCTGTAGAGAAGCTCTGAGACAAGGAAAGGGGAAGCAGAGGTAGGAGCCGATTGGCTCCCGCTGCATTGCACAGATGCTGACAGAAAGTCAGTGCAGTGTGAGCAGCAGGAAGACTTCATCTGTGTGCTGCTTCTCCTTCATTGTCCAATCACAATCTGAGGGTGTGTTTTTAAAGTTCTTAACCACTTCCAGTCCGGACACTTTCACCCCCTTCCAGTCCGGACACTTTCCCCCCCTTCCAGTCCGGACACTTTTACCCCCTTCCAGTCCGGACACTTTTACCCCCTTCCAGTCCGGACACTTTTACCCCCTTCCAGTCCGGACACTTTCACCCCCTTCCAGTCCGGACACTTTCACCCCCTTCCAGTCCGGACACTTTTACCCCCTTCCAGTCCGGACACTTTTACCCCCTTCCAGTCCGGACACTTTCCCCCCTTCCAGTCCGGACACTTTCACCCCCTTCCAGTCCGGACACTTTCACCCCCTTCCAGTCCGGACACTTTCACCCCCTGCCGGTCCGGACACGTTTACCCCCTTCCAGTCCGGACACTTTCCCCCCTCCCAGTCCGGACACTTTCACCCCCTGCCGGTCCGGACACTTTCCCCCCCTTCCTGTCCAGGCCAATTTTCAGCTTTCAGCGCTATCACACTTTGAATGATAATTGCGCGGTCATGCAACACTGTACCCATATGAATTTTTTAGAATTTTTTTGAGACAGATAAAGCTTTTTTTTGGTGGTATTTATTCACCACTGGGATTTTTATTTTTTTTGCTATGTAAATGAAAAAGTCCAAAAATTTTGAAAAAAAAGTGTTTTTCTTATAAAATTTTGCAAATAAATAATATTTTCATCATAAATCTTGGCCAAAATTTATTCCATTATATTTTTAGTGAAAAAAAAATAACCCAAATTAGTTTATAACCAAAATTACAATTTTTAAACATTTTTTTTATATTATTATTTTTTTTTTTTTTTACATACTGTCACCCTAGCAGTACAGTGTCACCATGGTGACACTGTACTACTTGTGGGGGGTGATGAAGATTTTTTTTTTTTTTTTTTTACACTGAATGCTTTTACACCCATAAAGGCTGTAAAAACAATCATTTCTCCTTCTCTCTAGCTGCATTCTTGCAGCCATTGAGAACTACTGAGTAAGCTGTGATTGGTCACAGCTTGTCACATGGTACAAGGTTATTGTGAATAGCCCTGTACCATGTGACCTCTGTGATCATTCACAGATTTCACACGTAGTAAGCAATGATGTCACAAGTGATATCTTGCTTACTACTTTGCATGTGATCATTGATTGGCCAATCAGTGATCACATGATCGAGGTCCCGTCCGACGATCGGTGTTCCACTGTGTTCGGAGGACACAGAGGGCACTGGATCGTGGTCCCAGGGAGCGCGCACAAGCAGGGGGAGGGGAGGCTGTTTATAAACGGTAACCCGGCCCTGCACTGCCACCATATGGCCGTTTATATACAACGGCTGGACGGGAGGTGGTTAAAGCTAAAATATACTCCTCCCCCATTCTAAGCCAATTCTAACTACCCTGTAAAATCAAAGATGTCTATACTTACCTATTCTGAAGCCGCTCTGGTCATATGCTCTCTCCAGTGACAGTGTCAGTCTAGAGCAGAGGCAGCAACAATGGATGCAGATTCTGGGGTGATGACGTCACTCATAGGCTTACAATGGGGCAGTCGTTGACTGCTGTCCCTCCTCTACGCTGAAGCTGGGAGCTACTCGTGTGACCAGACAGGAGCTCCTTAGGAATAGGTAAGTACAGACATCTTTCCGTTTACAAAATTAGAAAGAATAGACTTAGAATGGGGGTGGGAACAGATTTTAGCTTCGTTACGTTTTGAGAGGAATTACACATTAGCCAAGTTATACTGCTGCTGCAGTTAAGGTCAGAGCTCCGGCTATCATGTCTGGCCAAGGGCCTTGATCACAGGACTGGATGCACAGATTTACAAATCCTTCAGCAGGCAGAACACATCCCAGTTATGCATTTTAATTGTGTATTTTGCACCTGCCTGGAGCTTAGCTTTAAATTAGGGATGCACTGATACCGATACTGGTAATGGTTTCATAGTTACATAGTTAGTCTGGCTGAAAAAAGACAAAAGTCCATCCAGTTCAACCATTAAAAAAAAAAAAAGTTATAATCCTACACCCACAGTTGATCCAGAGGAAGGTAAAAAACCCAGCAAAGCACGATCCAATTTGCTCCTGCAGAAAAAAAATTCCTTCCTGATCCCCCCGAGAGGCAATCGGATATTCCCTGGATCAACTTTACCTATAAATAAATATCAGTGACGATACCGAGTATTTTCATGAGTACTCGTGACAATGCTCCAGATACCGGAAACTGATACTTTGTGGTGCGATTTGCATCAATACATACTGCACTGTCCAAATCGCATGCAGGTTTCCCCACTGCTCCTGTGTGAACCTAGGCTTGACATAGCCCGAGTTCACCCAGAAGAGGTGCAGGAAACCTTCCTACAGGCATCCCATGCTGAGCAGAGAGCGGGGCGTGTGGGGATGTATACTATGGAAGCAGATGGTCCATATTCTCAGTGGTAGGAGAGAAAGCGGCAGGGATTTGAAATCCCCACCGCTCTCTCTCCTCTCCTTGCAGGGATGACAGGGCTTTTGAATGATTAGCACTGTCACATGGACGGTGCTGATCAATCAGATGCCGTCTAGCCCCTAATATCATCGCTGCAAGGAGAGGAGAGAAAGTCGCAGGGATTTCAAATCCACAGACCTGTGAAGCGGCTTTCTCTCCTCTCCTACCACTGAGAATATGGAGCATCTGCCACAAGGTATACATCCCCACACACTGACTCTCCCCTACGAGAAACCTCCCTGCACCGCTCCTGTGTGAAGTCGGGCTATGGCAAGCCTGGGCTCACACAGGAGCAGTGGCGAAACTGCATGATATTTGGACAGGAATCGCATTTCCTGTTCAAATCGCATGCTATTCTTTTGCAGTGCAATCTGCATCCATACATTCGGTATTGACGAAAATCGCACCTCAAAGTATTGGTAATTGGTATCGGCAAGTACTTGACTGAAAGTATTGGTACTCGTACTTACTCGCCAATAAAAAAAAGGGTATCGGTGCATCCCTACTTTAAATAACATCAACACTACAGACACAAAGACCTGTTTCTCTGTTATAGACAGTTTGTTGGGTTCCAGGCCTCCTCTGTTTTGAGGCCTTGGGGCTGGGGAGGGGGATGGGTGTGTGGGTTAAGTGATAACTCTGCTGCTTTTATGCAGTGTATTGGGGGTTGTTGTTTTTTTTTTATACATTTTTTTTTTTAAAAAGTGCTGTAAACTTCAAAATTTCAAATAAAATAGATTTGGTTAAAAAAAAATATACACACAAGACATCTAATATAACAAGTCATACTAACAGGCACTAAACACCCACAGCAGAGGACACTGTCCTTCATCCAGATGTGGTGGGACTACAACTCTCATCATGCTGGAGATAAATGCTCCCCCCATTCTCACCCTCCTTGTTGTAATATTCCAGCAGATTTTGGTCTGGCAGCTCCAGGAAGCTCTGGATCCGATCCAAGGACACCTTGGCCTCTAAGACTCCGTTCAGCACCCATGGGAAATTGTTCAGCGGCAGAATTAACATCCTCACCCACAAGAGCCAGAGCTGTGAACACCTACAGAGAAGAACACATAGTTCTGTTGGGGCTGCAGGAGAATTCTTTACACAGAACAAAGACAAACGGGAAATCGCCAGAAAATGACAGAGGAGTCAACTTTGCAAGAGATGGCCACGTCTACTGGGACCGCCGACCTCTCTACTGACCTTGGCTGCAGTAAGCTGGTTCCCAAGTAGTACATAGGTGACAAAAGTAATGATGGAAATGAGGACAGGTAAAGCTGCCCACAGATACACACAAACGGCGTCCAGAAGTTTAATGGCCCGAAGGCTTCGCAATTCCTCCTTCCGCAGGATGGTCAACTGATGTGCAAAATGTTCTTCCCATGTGTAAAACTTCACTACTCGCATCCCAGACAACAACTCCGTCACCAGCTGGGGAAAAAGACAGAGCAACATCTCGGAAACTGGGGATGGGACAATATAGAATCAATGGAGGAGAGGAAGGACAGAAAAAGAAAAGGGAAAGAGAACAAGAGAAAGAAAAGGGAAGAGTGGAAAGGGAATGGAAAGGAAACGGAAATGATGACATAGGAAAGAAAAGAAAAGAAAAGAAAGAAGGAAAAGGAAAAGAGAAAAGAAAAAAAAAAGAAAAAAAGAAGGAAAAGGAAAAGAGAAAAGAAAAAGGAAAAGAAAAGAAAGAACCAAAAGCAAAAGAGAAAAGAAAAGAAAAAAGAAAGAAGAAAAAGGAAAAGAGAAAAGAAAGGAAAAGTAAAAAAAAAAGAAAAAAAAGGGAAAAGAGAAAAAAAAAGAAAGAAGGAAAAATAGAAAAGAAAAGAAAAGGAAAGGGTAAGAAAATTAAGAATGGTAATGGGGAGGGGAGGGGAGGGTTGCGGAGGGAGGATCAAATAAGTGGTTGAATGACACAAGAAAACAAAAAAGGAAATCCAGCTCTAGATGAGAAAGTTGCAAAGAAAGCACATTTAAAGGATATGAAGCAAGAGAGAAGGGAGAGTAGGAAGGAATGGAACGAGAAGTAGGGGAGGAAGGAATGAAAAGAGAAGTAGGGGAGGAAGGAATGAAAACAGGGAGGAAGGAGAGAGGTGTGGAGGGATAAATGAAGAGAGAAGGGAGGGGAGAAAGGAATGAAGAGAGAAGGGGAGAAGGAATGAAAAGAGAAGTAACAAAGACAGAAGGGAGAGAAGGAAGGAATTAAGATGGAAGGGGGGGGGAGGAAGAAATTAATGAATGAAGACAGAAGGGAGGGGTGGAAGGATTGAGGAGAAAAAAGGAGGAAGAAACAAAGAGAAGGTTGGGGAGAAGAGAATGAAGAGAGAAGGGCAAGTGAAGGAAATAGAAGAAAAGAAGAAAAACGGGAGGGGACAAAGTAATAAAGACAGAAGTGAGAGAAGGAAGGAATTAAGATGGAAGGGAGGGGAGGAAGGTATGAAGAGACAAGGGAGGGGAGAAAGTAATGAAGAGAGAAAGGTGAGGAAGAAAGGAAGGAAAGAAGGGAAGGGGAGAAAGAAATGAAGAGAAATGGAGGGGAAAAAAATGAAGAGGGCCAGAAAGGGAGAAAGGAATAAACAGAGCAGGGAGGGAAGAAAGGAATGAACACAGAAGGAAGAGGAAGGAAAGAAGAGAAAAGGGAAGAGAGGAAAGAAAAAAGAAAGGTGGAGGAGGAAGGAAAAAAGAGAGAAGGGAGAGAAGGAAGGAATGAAGACAGAGGAAGGAAGGGGTGGAAAGAATTAAGAGACAAGGGAGGGGAAAAAAAGTAATGAAGAGAGAAAGATGAGGAAGGAAGGAGAGAAGGGAAGGGGAGAAAGGAATGAAGAGAAGGGGGAGGGGGATGCAGAGAACCAGGAGGGGAGAAAGGAATGAACAGAGCAGGGAGGGGAAGAGGTGGAAAGAAAGAAGAGAACAGGGAGGGGGAGGAAGGAATGAAGAGACAAAGGGGGAGGAAGAAAACAACAGAAAAGGGAAGAGAGGAAAGAAAGCAGAAAGAAGGTCGAGGAGGAAGGGAAAAAGAGAGAAGGTTTGAGGAGGAAGGAAAGAAGAGAGAAGGGAGAAGGGAGGGAAGGACGGAATAAAGACAGAGGGAAGGGGATGAGAGAATGAGGACAGAAGGGTGGTGAAGAACAAAAAAATGAAAGGGAGGTTCTATAGAAAGAGGAAAGAAGGGAAAGCAAGAAAAGAATAAAGGAGGTAGGTAAGGTGCAAAGGAAGTAAGAAAGGAGGGAAGAAAGAGTAAGTGACAGAGAACATACACTTGAATGAAGACAGATGGGAAATGTCCAGACACACAATGATGGTGGTACCTTAACTCGGGCGTCCTTATGTTGCAGCAGTTCTTTATTGTTGTTCATGATACGAGTGGCAATCACTTTATTCAAGGGCAGCAAGAGCAGTGCCAGTCCAAGACCGCCAAGGACAGCAATGCCCACCTGTTGGTAGAAGAGGTAAAGCGTGATGGAGAACTGCAGGGGAAGGCTCCACAACTCATGAAAGCTCCGGCAAAAATTGGTTATTCGATCTGCATCTGTACTCATCAGGTTCATCACTTCCCCTGGGGAGAACCCAGCCAGACCTGTCCCTTCACCATGAATAGCCTTACAATACACAGTAGTCAGCACAGATGTTCTCACAGTCAGCATAACCTTATTGATCTGATGTGTGTACTGATTCTGCAGAAGAGCCCCCAGAAAGCCACTGCAGAAGAGCCCAGCAGTATAGATCACCCCCCAGCTGAGAGGTTCCTCTCTGGTCTCCATGAAATTGACCAGAAGATTTAGCAGCACCGGGCCCATGAACCCAAGGATGGTGGAGCAAAGTTTTATCAACCCTAAAGAGTAATAACGGCATCCAAAGCTTGCATGCAACGCTGATAAGAGGCGTAATGTTCCAGGTGGACTCTTGGACAGGAATTTTTGGCAGACTCTTGCAGTACGGAGACCATATGGCAGGATGGGTACATCCTGGGGCTGCTTCAATCCTCCTTGTGCTCCCCTCTGCATAAGTGGCTTCATCCAAAAGTAGAACAACTGCGAAAGAAGACTTTCATAGTCCTCCGATGTCTCTTCGCTGATGCTGTGGGCAGAGGAGAACAGCAGAGAGACATCTTCATCGTCTTCATTAATGGAAACATTGATGGGAAATCTTTGGGGGCCGAGCAGGAACAAGAAAAGCCACAAAATACAAAGCTACAAAGCAAAGCCTCAGGCATGAGAAAGAAAAAACGATAAATAAGAACTGAGTTCAGGGGTGATGCCACAGCCCCTAACTGGAATAACCAAACTATCCTGATCACTGAAGAGGGAATCAGGAGGAGAACTGGCAACACCAAACTCAGAGGTCCCCTGGAAAAGGTGTACAATGTCTTCCGAAGGTTGAGTAGCACCAGGAAATGTGTAAACCATGATAGGCAGCACACTCCTCCTGAGAGAACTTCTAATGAGGAGGGGACTTCGCGAGGAAATACAGCCCCCAAGGCCAATTCAGCAGCACAGAACAACGTGAGGAGGAAGGAGAATAAAATCCGACATCGCCAGGCGGGTGACAGGGAGGAAAATCTCGAGTTCCTGGAAGAAAAGCCTTATATTATTACTAGGAACAAAGACACAACATAGACATTCCAATCAACATCTCATGATCACCTTTCCCCTCACCCCTATCTCACAAAGGCCATCTACCTTCACCTTTCCAGCAATGACCATGTTCATTCATCTCCAACCTCCTCCATATAGACCATGTCCCTTTAACTTCACCTTACCTCATATGAACTATCTCCCTGTATATTGACCTTTATTGATAAGGACTATGGTCTTGTACCTCCACCCTCCCTTATAAGGACTGTTTTCCTGTATCTCCATCCTTTCTCATAAGGACTGTGTTCCTGTACTTCCACCCTCCCTCATAAGAACTGTGTTCCTGTACTCCAAGTTACTTCATAAGAACTGTGTTCCTGTACCTCAACTCTCCCTCATAAGGATTATGGTCTTGTACCCCCACCCTCCCTCATAAGGACTGTGTTCCTGTACCTCAACTCTCCCTCATAAGGATTATGGTCTTGTACCCCCACCCTCCCTCATAAGGACTGTGTTCCTGTATTCCAACTTACTTCATAAGGACTGTGTTCCTGTACCTCTACCATACCTCATAAAAGGACTATGGTCCTGTACCTCCACCCTCCCTCATAAGGATTGTTTTCCTGTACCCCCACCCTCCCTCATAAGGATTGTTTTCCTGTACCTCCACCCTCCCGTCATAAGGACTGTGTTCCTATACCTCCACCCTCCCTCATATAGACTGTGTTCCTGTACCTCCACCCTCCGTCATAAGGACTGTGTTCCTGTACCTCCACCCTCCCTCATAAGGACTATGTTCCTGTACCTCCACCCCACCTCTTAAGGACTATGGTCCTGTACCCCCACGCTGCCTCATAAGGACTATGGTCCTGCACCTCCACCCCACCTCTTAAAGACTATGGTCCTGTACCTCAACACTCCCTCATAAGGACTATGGTCCTTTACCCCCCACCCTGCCTCATAGGTTCTTGCATTGTGTTTTTTTTTCATTATACAGGTTTGTATTTTTTGGGTTTCTTTTGTTTTCCTTTTGTTTTGTTGTTTTATGTTAGTGATGACCAAGTTTGTTTTGTTCGTTCATTCACCTCCACCCTCCGTTATATGGATCATATCTTCTTACCTTCACCTTCCCTCAAATGAACAATCTTCCTCTATCTTGACCTTTCTTCATAAGGACTATATTTCCTGTACCTCCACCTTCCCTTACAAGGACTATGTTCCTGTACCTCCACCATCCCTCATAAAAACTATGCTCCTTTACCTCCACCCTGCCTCATAGGGACTATGTTCCTGTACCCCCACCCTGTTTCATAATTACCAAGTGGTCCACTGAGTCTGCCCTTTTTCTTTTGTTTTTTATGTTAAAAAAACAATGAAATAAAAATCATATTAAAAAATGTGCCATCACTCTTCTATGTTTCTATGACCATGCCCTTGTACCTCCACCTTGCCTCATACAGACTATGTTCTTGTGCCTCCACCTTTCCTCGAAGGGACTACCTTCCTGTACCACCACCCTTCCTTATAAGGACCATCTCTATTCACCTCTACCCTCCCCCCAAGGATTATGGTCCGGTACCACCACCCTGCCTCATAAGGACTATGTTCTTGTAGTTTCATCCTGCCAAGGTGCTACTGACATGAAATTTTCAACACATGTCG